CGGAGCAGACCATCGGCTCCAAGTCCAGCCAGGCTCGGGCAAATATGAACATTTCTCGTCAGGGGGCCGCTGGAAACAGAGATGTGAACATGCAGTCAGCTTTTTCGAGACTGCTTGGGCTTTCAACCCGTCATCCAGGACCTCCAGGGTTCGTCTCATGGCGACGTGACCGATGTGGGGGGCGACCTGGAAGCCGCCTCGTTCTTCTCTGAGGAGGGCCCCTGGGCCGACGAATTTGATTTTCCCCCTTCAGGCGCCGCGGCTACACGTGCGACGGCTGCCGACGGTTGCGTCGCAGGGCCGTGTTCCAGTAACGACGGGGGCGCTCGTCGGGCTAGTGGCGGCTCTTCCTCTGGGCTTGTCGGGGCTGGGGGTGTTGTTTTGCCTGGGCCTGGTGGGGCTCCTTGCGGGTCTGGCGGGGTCCGTGGTGGCCCCGTCGGCTCTTGCCTGGGCCCCGGCGGTGCAGGTGCGCAGGAGGCTCCTAATTCACTCCAGTCTCCCAGCAATGTATCTGCTAAGGTCGAGCCATCCTATTGTGTCCCGGTGGGGCTATGGGGGGCTCACCGTGCTCCAGTGGGCTTCTTTTGTTTCTCCGCCACCTTTCCCCCCTGTGCGAGAACTTTGCGGTTTGCCAGGGCGACCCCGCGGGGTGCCAGCTGATCAACGGCCCCGGTGCGCGGGCTGGGACTCTCGAGGCCGTTGTCTTAGAGCACCAACAGGGGGGGGCGCGCCGAGGGGATCTCTTGAGCTGCTGTCCCCGAGTTCGTTGTTCGCGGGGTTCGGGCAAGTCAGCTGCATCGTGAAGCTCCGCTGAGAGATTCGGTCGCTAATTGGCGGTCCAGACTGCGCGATGTCCTGGCCAGCCTTGCGGGGCGCCGGGCCAGGCGTGGCAGACTTTGCCGACGGCGTCTGCGGGGAAAATCCATGCCTCGGCCTGGTTGAAGATGGGCCTGTGCAGGACTGTGCGCGCAGGACTTGAGCTCAGTCGGTCGGGGTGGCTCCGTGCTCTCTCGGCCATCTGCGAAGTTTCCCTGAGCCAGGCGTCTCAGTTCAGGAGGGGAAAAACACACAGACACAATTAATCGTCGATTCCCCAGAAAATTCCAAAAATATGGGAAGTGGGGGGGAAGACAAAAACCCAACAAATAGGGAAACTATGGGAAATATGTTTAATTGTGTGCATTTATTTGTGTGTCCTGGGGCCCCTTCATCAGTGCGCTGGCGCCTCGCCGCGCCTGGCCGGGCGCGGCCCGAGGGCGAGCGGCGGCCCCGGCGCTCGAGGAGTTTCGCGGCGGGGCGCCTGCTGCGGAGGCTCTGGGCACGCTGCGTCGTTCGCCTCGGCGGGGCCCTCGCCCTCCGCTCGGGCTCGTCGACGACGGGTCATCCTGCGCCGCCCCGAGGACGTCGTCGATCTCAGTCTCGGTGGAGGGAGGGCCCTGCGGGCTCCCGATCTCCGTGGTCTCGGCGCTGCCCTCGGCGCGGTCATGGGTGGGCGTCGCTCGCGGGGCCGTCCGCGGCGATCTCGGCCCCCCCCCCCGCCTCGCCGCGCGTGATGTGCGGGTTGCTCTTCGGGAGGTGAAAAGTAGCGTCGGTCTCGGAGCGGGCCGCGTCGCTCCCGGGGAGCTCGAGCGGTGGCCCGATGTGGGCCTGCAGGCCCTGGCTGACGTCCTCAACTGCGACGGGGGCCCCCCTCGCGTGGCCCGCCAAGGCCCCCCCTCTTCCCTTGCGAGCCCCCCCCCCCAGAGAAGGCCTGGGGAGATGGGGCCATCGGGCTCCTCCTCCTCCCTTGGCCTCGTCCTCGTTCCTCCTCCTCTTCCTCCTCCCCCCCCTCTTCCTCCTCCCCCTCCTCCTCCCGGGGCAAAGCTGGGGGGCGCTGGGTAGAGCCCTGGGCCGGCAACAGTCGACCAGCCTGGGATGCCGCTGTGAAGGGCACTGCATTATTGCAGGAAGCGTCCCGACCGCTGTTGGATGAGGATACGGCCGCCGTTCTTGAGGTTGCACGTGCCCGCAGTCTGGTTGATCTCGAGCAATGCGGCAACGCGATGTTTTGGCTCGAACTCGCGCGGGCCGCAGTGCGCTTGGGATTCCCGCCGACAGTGCTTTACCTTGAACTTCTCCAACGTGCGTGTCCCAGGACCTTGAATCAGATCGAGGCCTTTCCCGATCCGATAAGGGGTCGCCAGTTCCATCATCCAGGGTCTACGGGGTGGCGCGAGATGCGTGCCCATACGTATTTCGTTATTCCTAATCTTCGCTGCGGCCGTCGGCTATGGACCGACGCTTCGTTTCAATCAGCCAGAGGATTGCGACGTCAGCTACGATTGGACATGGTCATCTGTCTGGCGGGGATAGCGCGTGGTTAGGGACAGCAGGGTCTACGTATAGCCAGTAAGTCAGTCACCGCTTGTAGCCATCGCCCCGATGCGATCGCGATTGCCATGGCCTCCAAGAAACGTGGAGCTATCCTCGCGGCAGTTCGGCAGTGCAGATACTTAGGGACAGACCCAGGAGGCGGTCGTCGTCGCGTGGGACCCCAACGAATCGGGCGAGTTGCCAGACATGTCGAACGTCATCGGATGGTGCGTCGTTGCGCCCGCGCTGTGCGCAAGGCCAAGGTACCGTCGAGCCTCGAGATCCAGGGTGGCAAAGCTGTGGGCAGTTGCGGCTTTCGGTTGCACGGTGGTTTTGGACAGTGCTTTATCAAACTTCGTCGCAAATTAGGCGCTGCGGGCCAGGTCCGTACCAAGGGGAGGTGTTTGGTTTCCCTTCTGGTTATTCAAGCGCCGGGACAGGATCCGGCACGGCATTTTGCACGCGGTACTTTTGCGTCTTGGCTTCAGCAACGGCGGGGTCATACTGAGATCAGGCCGGCAGTTGAGCGAGCTTGGCAGAAGGCGTGCGCAAAGCTACATGCCATGGACCCAGCGAGGCGTCATCGGCATGTCCGGGTACCAATGCGTTGTCATTTGGGTGGATTTCAAAGGGGGCCGCATATTGGGAGCATCCATTTGCCCAGCATCAGTGGGCATTCCCAGACGAAGGTTTCACTGGGAACAAATGTTTGTATTCTTTGATGAAGGCTTACTTGGCGTGGATAAGGCATCGATGGCTAGTCAGTTGGTTCAAGAAGCTAAACGCTTGGACGGGGGCGGGGTGCAGCAAAGCGCCGGCGCTTACTCTTTCCTTCGACTGCTGGACCAATTGCGTATGGCCAAATCTGGAGGCCCCCGTCTAGCTGGTATTTTCTCAATATCGCAATAAGTGGAGCAGGGACTCACAAACGTCAGGTTTCTTTGGCTAGGCAGCGTGGCTTGGACAACGCCAGCTTAGAGTGACTCGGTGCCCGCGGTGCCGTGGGCATGACGAGGGCTCTCTCCATCGCATTTGGACTTGCGCATGTGACGTCGGATCTGATATTTTCGGGGCTAGCAGCAATTTGGTCCCAGCGGCCCTTTCACAATCAGGGCAGTTTGAATTATGTTGGCTATGTGGCGTTATCCCTAATTCATGTTTTCGTATTTCGGACCCACCGTTTGCTGATGACTGGGGATGTGTTGGCATTGATGCGATGGCTCCTGCTTGTCTACCTGCCGGGGCGAGCGTGGAGCCAACGATCAGCTTCGGCGATGCCAGCGGTGGGCCCGACACATCAGGTCCGAGACTCAGGAGAGCGGCTCTCGGCGCGACGACCCTATCGAGCTTCGACCCGCCGAGCGTGAGCACCTACATCACTGGCCCGCTGTCGGGACTACGTCAGGATGTGCCTCGCGATGAGTTGAAGTCTCTTTGGCTGGCCATTCACAGCAGCACTGGGCATACTTTGTATGTGACCGAATGCGAGAATGCGTTCAAAGTGTTTGGAACCCAGAGGTCGCGACGCTGACGTGTGGGCGAACATTCAAATTTTGATGAGCACTCGTTCGTGCTCAGTTCGTGCACTCCCACCTGGGAGGCGAGGCGACTATAGTAGGTCGAGCTCGCAGGTGGCAGGTTGTTGGCACCACCATCATCGACGAGCTCGTCAGTGCGAAGGCCCAAGAGATCCTCGTGGCCCCTATCGAACGCCACGGCCTCCTGGAGGTGGAGCGGAAGGCCTTCCTGGTCAGGCGCCGCCTCATATTCGCGGCTGTGTTCAGCGCTGCGGCGGACGCGAAGGACAAGGGGCAGGCCCCAGGAGGATGAGGGCTTGCCTCCTTCTTCCTCTATTCCCCCACCTTTTGCACCTAGTGCCGTGTTTTTTTTGAAACCAGGCACTCGTTGGACGACCGTGGAAGGAGTTGCAAGCGATGTTTAGGGTCTGCTTCTGGGGATTGGCTTGGATCCTGCAAACAACTCCGTCTTCTGCGCAAGCGAAGCGAAGGGGGGATTTTCACGCAGTGCACGACGGTTATAAGTTGCATGTAGCCGGGGACTGGGTTCATGAAGCGTACGTATTAAGCCTGAACGCGCAGTTGGGTCTTTGGTTTTGTGGTGTCTGCGGGGCCTTCGCCCGCCAACATAATCATGTTCCACAAACCGTGCGAGTCTCGAGCCACACCGACGGGAGAGGGTTATTTGAAGATGATCCGCCTAGGTCTGTGGCCAAAACACTTTTCCAAGGCCGAATAGGCGGAAAGCTCGGGAATCGAACATCATCCACCCCCTCGTTCAAAAAAGGTTGAATTTGCCTCACTCCAGGAACAAACCTTCTCATTCTCCTTCTCCTCCTCCTCCTCCTTCTCCTCCTCCTCCTCTTCCTCCTCCTCCTCCTCCTTCTCCTCGTCCTCCTCCTCCACCTCGTCCTCCTCCTCCTCCTCCTCCTCCTCTCTCCGCCCCGACTTCCCAACCCTCTTCTCCTCTCCGGCGCCATGTCTCCCGGGGCTCTCCCGCCCTGCCGCCCGTCGTTGCCGTCGTCGTCGTCGTCGTCGTCGTCGTCGTCGTCGTCGTCGTCGTCGTCGTCGTCGTCGTCGCCGCCGCCGCCGCCGCCGCCGCCGCCGCCGCCGCCTCCGCCGCCGCCGCAGGTGGCAGGCCTCTCATTGTCGCCGCCCCAGCGGAGTTCCTCGCTCTCGGAGGGGCGGGGGCCCAACAACGCGTCTGGCCGCAGCGAGCAGGCGCTCGCCGCGCCTCTCCCTCGCAGGGGGGGAGTGGGAATGACCAGGCACACAGGAGGCGAAAGAGGAGGAGGGGGAAGGAGGAAGGGGGACGAGGAGGAGGAGGAGGAGGAGGAGGAGGAGGAGGAGGAGGAGGAGGAGGAGGAGGAGGAGGAGGAGGAGGAGGAGGAGGAGGAGGAGGGAGGAGGAGGGGGAGATGGATGGGGGAGGGGGAGGAGGAGGGAGAGGGGGAGGAGGAGGGGGATAGGGAGGGGGACAAACTAAGTGCGCTCGCGTCATATCTGACGTCCTACCCCTCCCTCCCATCACTTACCACTCACCCGGAAAGCTTTCTGGTGTATTTTCCCGGAGAGCTCGCTGAGAGCTAAAGGGTTTAAGATTAGAAGCCGGACGGTGGTGGTGCCCGCCAGCAGCCCATCTCCGCCGGTCAAGAATTCTCGCAGCAGCTCGCCTGACCCGGCAGCGGGTCCGGGAGAGCTTCCGGCGAGCGTCTAGGCGTGCCTGCACGCGCGCAGGCACGCGTGGAAGCGTTCCTGGCAGCGCTTCGGAAGCGCCGCCGGGGAGCCCCCCAGAGCCCCAAAAGAGCTTCACGCGTGCTTCCGTGGGCTTGCCAGGAAGGTTTTCTGCTGTGTCTTCTCTGTGCTCTCCGGGTTTTGGACGCTGGCGGTGCCCTATGTTCTCTAGGTTTTAGAGGCTACCAAGTGGACCCGGCAACTGGTCCGGGAGAGCTTCCAAACGTGCCTCCTCCTCCTCCTCCTCCTCCACCTCCTCCTCCTCCTCCTCCTCCTTCTCCTCCTCCTCCACCTCCTCCTCCTCCTCCTCCTCTTCCTCCTACCTATGGCAGTGGTGGCGTAGGATCGGCGTAGCTTCCAAACGTGCCTGCACGCGTGCAGGCACGCGTGGAAGCGTTCCTGGCAGCGCTTCCGCAGCGCTGCAGAGGGGCGCCCCAGAGCTCTCCAGAAAAAAAATTCCGCCCCCGCGGGTGTCTTCGCTGCAGGCACGCATGAAAGCGTTCTCGGCAGCGCTTCGGCAGCGCGGCAGGGGAGCTCCCCAGAGCTCTCCAGGAAAGATTTCCCGTCCCGGAGGGTGTCATCGCTCTCCGGATTTTTCCCAGATAGCTTACCTCGTAGAGCTCTTCGGTATTAGCTGGTTATAGCTGGAAGCTAAGAGTAATTCCGGCGCGCTGGAGAGCTAGTTGGCTCGAAAAAAAAGAACTGAACTTTTCACAACTTTTGGTCGGTTGAAAATTATGTTCTCGAAATTTGACCATTCGTTAGAATTCTAGTATTTTTTCCCGTGATATTCGATCTTATTCCCGCTCGCCATCTTGATCTTAGCTCGATCGGGTACCTTTTACTGCCAAAAAGCACACTGGCGGCATCGGCCGTTTCGAGTCATCTGATACGCGTTGTCGGTATTTTGTACTTAACTCGAGCTGTAGGACAGCTACAGAGCTGGTAAGCACAGCTATCGCACCCAGAATCACCAGGCGCGTTCGCCTGTTGATCCATAGGTCTGAACTCGGTCTGCTGGCCGAGCTAGGTCTGCAAATTATTCGAGTCAACTTGATACGCGTTGTCGGTATTTTCTACTTAACTCGAGCTGTAGGGCAGCTACAGTGCTGGTCAGCACAGCTATCGCACTCAGAATCATCAGGCGCGTTCGCCTGTCGAATCCATAGGTCTGAACTCGGTCTGCTAGCCGAGCTAGGTCTGCAAACCTATTCGTATTATTCGAGTCAACTTGATACGCGTTGTCGGTATTTTCTACTTAACTCGAGCTGTAGGGCAGCTACAGTGCTGGTAAGCACACCTATCGCACGCAGAATTATCAGGCGCGTTCGCCTGTTGAATCCATAGGTCTGAACTCGGTCTGCTAGCCGAGCTAGGTCCGCAAACCTATTCGTATTATTCGAGTTAACTTGGTACGCGTGGTGGGTATTTTGTACTTAATTCGAGCTGCAGAGCAGCTACAGTGCTGGCAAGCACGCCTATCGCACTCAGAATGATCAGGCGCGTTCGCCTCTTGAATCCATAGGTCTGAACTCGGTCTGCTAGCCGAGCTAGGTTCGCAAATCTATTCGTATTATTCGAGTCCTCTTGACAAACGCTCTCTATTTTCCGTACTCAATTCGAGCTGTAGGCAGCTTCAGAGCCTACAGTAACAGAAATCGATTGAGAATTATCGGGCGCGTTTGTCTGTGGTATCGAGAGCTCTGAACTCGGCCTGCTGCCCGAGCTAGGTTCGCGAAACTATTCGTATTGTCCGAATCATCGTGAAAAGTGCTCTCAATTTTCTGCACTCAACTCGTGCTGGGGGAGGGCTACAGTGCTGCGGGTCATAGAAATCGATTTGCACACATCAGGCGCGTTCGTTGGTCGATTCGAGAGCTCAGAACTTGGTCTGCTTCTCGAAACAGGTCTGCGAAACTATATATTATTCGAGTCATCCTGAGAGATGCTGTCGGTTTTCTGCACTTAACTCGGGCTGTAGGGGGCTGCAGGGCTGGTAATCACATGAGTCGATTCGCAGACATCAGACGCGTCCGCCTGACGCATTGAGAGGTCTGAACTCGGTCTGATCAGACGCGTCCGCTTGTCGCATTCAGAGGTCAAATTACTCCGACGGAAGAACCCCACATAAGAATCCTCTGGGCGAATCTGGAAAAAGCCATCACCGTCGTCCTCGTGGTTGGTGAGGCGTCCTGGCTGTCTCTTCTGCGTATATTTCCTCTCGCCTTGGCGCGGGCCCCCCTTCCACTCCTTACGTTGTCCCCATCCTCGCCCCCCTGTTCCAAAGTGTGGGGGGCTTCTGCGGCCCGAAAAACCAACGAATCGACACCGAATGTGTAATCACTTCCGATGGTTGTTTCGGGGTGTCATGTTCTAAATTTTGGGGCCGATTTGGAAGGACCGAGAACCATGCCGTGGCATGGCGCTGGAATCAATGACGCCAGCGCTGCAGCGGGAGCACGATTCGGAACGAGCGGAAACGCGGAAATGAGGCCAGCGCTGCAGCGGCATCATGATTCGGAGGACGCGTAGCCTGACATAGCATGGCGCGGCGACGCCCCAACGTGGGGTGGGGGGGGCTTCGACACCGAATGTGTAATCACTTCCGATGGTTGTTTCGTGGTGTCATTCTCTAGACTTTGGCATATTTGGAAGGACCGAACACCATGCCGTGGCATGGCGCTGGAAGTAATGACGCCAACGCTGCAGCGGGAGCACGATTCGGAACGAGCGGAAACGCGGACATGAGGCCAGCGCTGCAGCGGGAACACGATTCGGAACGGGCAGTAGCCCGAACATGAAGCCAGCTGCGATTACTCAAGGGGGGGGGGAGGGGGGAGGAGGAGGGGGAGGAGGAGGAGGAGGAGGAGGAGGAGGAGGAGGAGGAGGAGGAGGAGGAGGAGGATGAGGAGGAGGAGGAGGCGGAGGCGGAGGCGGAGGCGGAGGCGGAGGCGGAGGAGGAGGAGGAGGAGGAGGAGGAGGAGGAGGAAGGAGGAGGAGGAGGAGGAGGAGGAGGAAGAGGAGGAGGAGGAGGAGGAGGAGGAGGAGGAGGCGGCGGGAGGCGGAGGCGGAGGCGGAGGCGGAGACGCAGACGGAGGCGGAGGCGGAGGAGGAGGAGGAGGAGGAGGAGGAGGAGGAGGAGGAGGAGGAGGAGGGGAGGAGGAGGAGGAGGAAGGAGGAGGAGGAGAGGAGGAGGAGGAGGAGGAGGAGGAGGAGGAGGAGGAGGAGGAGGAGGGGAGAGTGGGAGGGGGAGGGGGGGAGAGGCGGAGGCGGAGGGAGGCGGGGCGGAGGCGGAGGCGGAGGAGGAGGAGGAGGAGGAGGAGGAGGAGGAGGAGGAGGAGGAGGAGGAGGAGGAGGGGAGGAGGAGGAGGAAGAGAGGAGGAGGAGGAGAGGAGGAGGGAGGAGGAGAAGGGGGGGGGGGAGGGGAGGAGGAGGAGGAGGAGGAGGAGGAGGAGGAGGAGGAGGAGGAGGGAGGGAGGAGGAGGAGGAGGAGGAGGAGGAGGAGGAGGAGGAGGAGGAGGAGGAGAGGAGGGAGGAGATGAGGAGGGGAGGAGGAGGAGGAGGAGGAGGAGGAGGAGGAGGAGGAGGAGGAGGAGGAGGAGGAGGAGGAGGAGGAGGAGGAGGAGGCGGAGGAGGAGGAGGAGGCGGAGGAGGAGGAGGAGGAGGAGGAGGAGGAAGACGACGAAGACGAAGAAGACTACTAAGAATAATAAGACGAAGACGCATAGTAATAATAATAATACTAAGAATACTATTAAGAATACTAAGAAGAATAATAATAAGAAGAAGAAGAAGGCGAATAATAATAATACTAAGAAGAAGAGTAATAAGAACAATGATAAGAATAATAATCATAAGACTAAGAAGAATAAGACTAATAGTATTCATAAGAATACTAACAATAATAATAAGGAGGATGAGGAAGGAGGAGGAGGAGGAGGAGGAGGAGGAGGAGGAGGAGGAGGAGGAGGAGGAGGAGGAGGAGGGAGGAGGGGAGGGGGAGGAGGAGGGAGGAGGGAGGAGGGAGGAGAGGAGGAGGGAGGAGGAGGAGGGAGGAGGAGAGGAGGGGAGGAGGAGGGAGGAGGTAGGAGGGAGGGAGGGAGGAGGGAGGAGGGAGGAGGGAGGAGGAGGGAGGAACGAGGAGCTAGGAGCGAGAGCGAGGAGGGAGGAGGGAGGAGGGAGGAGGGAGGAGGGAGGAGGGAGGGAGGAGAGGAGGGAGGAGGGAGGAGGGAGGGAGGAGGAGGAGGAGGGAGGAGGGAGGAGGGAGGAGGAGGAGGGAGGAGGGGAGGGAGGAGGGAGGAGGGATGGAGGGAGGAGGGAGAGGGAGGAGGAGGAGGGAGGAGGGAGGAGGGAGGAGGGAGGAGGGGAGGAGGAGGAGGGAGGAGGGAGGAGGGAGGAGGGAGGAGGGAGTGGAGTGGAGTGGAGTGGAACCCATGGCGAGGCCAGTTGGTCGACCACATTAAAGAGAGGATCTTAGCTGCCGACTAT